TACTATTTATTTAATACTATTTGTTATTACTTTTAATATCAATATTTATACACTTTCAACTTTTTTATTAGTATGAAAAAAAATATAGCTATATTTTTTGAATAAGTTATATTATAATCGTATTTCAATTTGTGTTTCTTTCTTTCATTATATTATTTATGTTTTTAAAAAATGGAAAAGAGCCTAAAATACCTTCGAAGTTTTGGAAATGGTACAAAATTACCCTTCATTCACTTATTGGCTCCAAAATGCCCTTTTCATCCACCTATTGACTCCAAAATACCCTTATTATCCACCTTTGGGTTCAAAATTGACCACTTAATTTAATAATTTTAAAATTAATTTTGTTTAAATATTTTTTAATATACTTGGCGCTTAACTATTGATTATAATTTAATTTATTAATATAATTTTTAAACCAACCCACTACCCACTCATTACTAACTAAACACCACCCAATTAACAAACCAATTATAATATCAAAATCGTCATAAACACTACTACAACACGACTAAATTATAGATTCCTGAAAATGACATCCAAAATTATTCGAGTTCGAATCGAAACCCAGTTAAATTTAAGTTGAGCCGCTTATTTAGGAGGACACTTTCAATAAGATTCTCTTTCAACTTTGAATTCGAAATTTATGATTAAAGGCAAAGAAGTAGTACATCCCGAATTGATTCATGCACTTTTTTAAATATAATTTTATAAATATTTATGATTTGTTTTAAAACCTTTAGTATATTATTTTTTTAAAAAAAGTTATCTATGAAGTAACATCACATAATTGAGATGAAAAAATAATTAAGATGAACATAGTTAGACTTTTATGTTTATCAGTAATTTTTATAATTTAAACACTTGAATGTATGATAATTTACTTCTATAGATATTTTCGCCTCAAATTTTTAAAAACACTCATTGACAGTAGCTTTCGTGTTCTTGAATTAGTAATGTGACGTGTTTATTAATTTGGTGGGATTTAATTAGTAATGAGCGGGTAGTGGATTGATTTATAAATTATACTAATAAGTTAAATTTTAAAAAATAGTAGAGTATCACATATTTCAAAAAAAAAGTATAAATAGTTCAAATTTAAAACCTTTAAATAAGATGTCAATTTTGAACCTAAAGGTAGATGACAAGGGTATTTTGGAGTCAATAGGTGGGTGAAAAAGATATTTTTGAGCCAATAGATAGATGAAAGGTAATTTTGTACCATTTTTAATACTTTAAAGGTATTTTAGGTCTTTTTCCGTTTAAAAAATAATAAAATTAATTATTTTAAAATATATTTAAATTTTTTATATAATCGCGCAAAGCACAAAAAAGAAATACTAATTTTAAATAAAATAAGTAATTTCAGATGTAATTCATTAAAACTTTAATATGACAACTTCAAAAACGTAAACATACCATTATGATTTAGATAGAGATTCCAAAAACATTATTATAAGTATAAAACATACACTTGAATCGAAATTTTTTAATTTCCAAAAACTCCAAACTTTTAAGAATCCCATTCATCAACCATATACACCAAGCCATACTGTGTATAGTTTATTTAAGATCGGTTGGTAGTGATACTAATATTAGTAATACCTGAATTAGTTATGAAAAAATATGTTAAATTTAATTATTTGATGTATTATATATTTATGTATTGATTATTTCACAAAATATATAAATTATACTTTTGAACTATAGATTTAAAAAATATGTATTATTATAGGCAGGATTTAGTTATTTATTATTATATATCTATTCATGTATGGATTATTTCATTTTATTCTCTTACTTATGTTTTCTAATTATGAATTAAATATCGTATTAGTTGTGTACATAGTTCTTATGATTAACTATCAAATATAATATTATTTATACATATTTAAACTTTAATACATGTATTATGATATTTGAATTAACTAGCTACTAAACGATTTTATCGCCCGAAGAATAAGAATTTTCAATTTTATATGTTATAAATAGCAATAATAAAGAAAATAGACAATTGTATTTGGACTTATTAAAATTTAACGAATTACACGATCCGTTCAAGTAGCTCATTTTACTCCAAGCAATGTCTTTTATAGAAGGTAAATAAACTCAATTTATTTTAATCTATCTATTCACTCTAATTTCGTCCATTTAACACCCCTAAGTTCATCTACACAAGAGTCAATGTGATGTTACTAGTAAATCACCTAACCATATTATTTCATCCGTTTTTATTTATATGTCATAATTATAGATTTCGCGTTCTTTAAGAAACCAAGTAAGTTTATTATTTTACACTTATTTAGTATTCTTGAAGTAAATTTTTCACTTGAGTTAATTTATTTTAATTAATTAAATTGACCAAAAGAACATAAATTAATCATTTAGTTTTTCTATACGAATTAAATTCAAACTTCCAATACTAAAATTCTCTCTATCCCTAATTACTTGTCCACTTTTGATTTTTTGATTGTCCCTAATTATTGTTTATTTTGACAAATCAAGAAAGAACAAATTCATTACCTATTATATCTTCAATTAATTACTTTGAAAAAATAAAACTTCTTAAAAACTTTAAATTTTAATCCATTTACTTCATAATTAATAAAAATAAAATAATAAATTCACTATGTCATTAATTTTTTATTAATAAGTGCGTCAATTTTAAAGTGAAATAGTTAGAGATACAGAGAGAAACTTTAAGAGTAAATAAGAAAAACACTGTCATTTATGTATTAATTTTGTAAAATAATAAATTCTTAATTACTTATCCACTTTTAAACTATCACACTTATTAGTAAAACAATTTTCGACATAGTATATTTATCATTTTATCCTTATTAATTGTAAAGTGAATAAAATAAAAATTTAAGATTTTAAAAAAATTTACCACCTTCTTTAAATAATTAATCAAGCATATAATATGTAACATTTTTTTTTATCTATCAAAATAGACAAATAATTAAAGATCATCTATTTTTAATAACGAAAATAGAGTAGGGAAGTGTTAAGAACCTAAAAGATGAATGGTCAATTACACTTTGCTTATTTTTCTTCCGTATTAAGGGGGAGTTTTATGTGTATATAAATGCACATTCTCTGCCTCTTTTTATATCATCTTCTTTTCTCTTCATCTAAAAAAAGGAAATAAAATTCTTCAATATTTTCCCTTTCTAATAGATCTATCTATATATATATATATCTTCTTATATCACTTTCATTATTTTCTTCTTAGATAATGACACCACATCAACCAAAATCCCACTCTTTTCCTTTTTTTTTTTAAATAATCGTGGTGTACATATAGAAATTTTAGTATGGAAATAGATAGAAAGGAATCCCCTCTTTTTTAGTTCATGTCATGATTTTTCATTGGTCATGAGAACTTTAGGTTACACTCTTTTCTTTATGTATTTTTTTAAAATATAATTCTGGTGTTCGAATTAGTTTATATTCTTCGAATTTGATAAATTACAAAAATTTGGATTTTTTGTGGGTTTTTATTGATCATTAAGTTATATTTGTGTATTTATTTTTTTCTTCTTACTTTTAGTTTTTGTTTATTTCTTGTGATTTTTCATTGATTGTTAAGTCACACTCTTTTGTTTTTTTTTATCTTCTTTTCATTCTTCATAGTTTTAAAGTTTTTTTTTTTGATTTTGTGAGATTTGAATTTAGATCTTTATTGATTTTTCATCGATTGTTAAGTCACACTCTTGAATGTTCTATCTTAATTTTATGCCTAGGTTTTTTTTTTCATCCAAGAAAATTTTGTGTTTGTATTAGGGTTTGCAGGATGATCAAGATCAGGTAAATGTTACTTTTTAAGAAAAATTATTGTTTTTTTATACACATATATATATTCTCTGATGATGAAACCTTTTATTACTATTTGATGTTTGACATAATTTGTGAAATTAAACGTTTTTTCCTATATAATTTTAAAAAATTAATTTTTTATATATATATATATATATAAATGCCTTTGCTTTACCTTAAAAGGGGGGAAAACGTCTGTCTTGTTACTGAATGATTATGCTTCTATTTTTTTAAAATATGTTTAATATGTTGTCATTGATATAGTGTTAATTATCTTCTTTGTTTTTGCCATTTTAGGCCTTTTTTTAATGTTGTTTTCCTCTTTTATCTTTGTGTGTTATAATTTTTTTTGTATTGTCTCAATTTTATTGAATCTTCCTAAAGTGATGTTTACTTGTGTTAGGTTGGAATAAGGATTAGGTATCTCTTAAACTTCTTCGAATCGTATTTGTGAGATTACACTGTTTATATTGTCGTTTATTTTACTATGGTGAGAATTTTTCAGCTATTTGAATTAGGGTTCTTGCTAGCATATTATTTATAGCAGTACTAGGTAACACTATAATTTGATTTTTATTTGTAAATAAAATTTGTTAAGAGGGACATAACATTTTGTCCTTTTAGGTTTTGATTCAAGATCTATTTGCACACAAAATGAATTTTTTTCTTCTAACTTTGTGTTTCAAACTTTATTTGGTAGTTAATTTTTCATTCCAAACTTGAAATTGAGTTTTTGAAATTTGGAAAAAAATTGATTCTAATTTTTTTTCTTTCAAAATTCACACAAAAAGTAGGATTAGTACCATGAATTATAAAAATATATGTTATGCATATCAAGTACTTATGAGTCCCCTTTTTTAAGATTCTAATTTTGTGATTTAGATGTAATGTGGAAGATGGTATAAGAGAGCTTCCTTTAGTCCACTCATAGGTAGACGAAGGATTTGAATTATCTCCCGACTCATTCATTCAAACGCAATAGGAAGTATGTAATCTTATACTATTGTGAATGTGTGAATGATGCGGGAGATAAATTCTCTCCTTTTTATCTGTGCTTGGACTGAAGGGAGCTCCCTTTTACCTTCTTTCTTCGGTTTCTTTTAGTCGAATTGGTTTCTTATGAATTAGTTGTTTGGGGCAATTCTTGCACGTATCTCAACTATTTAACGAGTACCTACTATGTTTCAAACCCTTCTTTTTTTATGTTTGTGATATAGTTTGGTGGTTATATATCCTAGGAAAGATTTGGGGGGAAAATTCAAGAAAAGCAATTTCTTTGGAATTTTTGAGTGGTTTCACCTTTTGTGCCCTAAAATTTCAAACTATTTTCTTTTTAGCAATTCTTTGAAGCCCAAATTTGACGTAAATGGTTAATTTTGTTGGAAAATTTGCTTGGCATAGTCTCCTTACTAGTAGTGTCTTTGTTATTTATTGTATATTTGTTATGTGTTATTGTGTTGAGGGGTCTGTTAGAAATCAACACTTCTTTATTTCACTAGGGTATGGATAATGTATTCCATACATTTTATCTTTTTCAAAACTTTATTGTAAAATTAAACCAAGTATATAGTTTGATTTGTGTTATCTACACTTAAATATGTGTAGATGTGTTCTAATTTTCAAATTTCTTTGTGTTTACTCATTTGGTTGCTATTGTTGAGAAGAAAATTGAGAGATATGATCAAACATCACATGTATTTTCACAGAGGCTAATCAAATATTTAAACTTGTTTGGTTCAATAATTATATTTTTGACATTAATTTCATTATTTTCATGAAGTTGTTTGATCTTATATATGATGTACCACATTTTCCCTCTAATTATTCATTGTATGAGAAATTCTTGTCTTCTCTTCATGTTTTACTCATGCGGAAGTTTGTTTTGATTAGAAGCATATTCAGAATTTAAAGTCTGTTAATATTGTAATGAAAGCAATTTTGTTAAGCTATATGTGTTTTTTTGTGTAAGTGGCTGAAATGGAAGAAAAAGAGTGTTAATTGAAATTTGTATAGTCTTAATTTAAGTATTTTATTTTTATTAAATTGAGGCATATGCAATAATTCAATTGATTATATGGTAGATTTTCTCTTAATGTGTATTTACATTAATCATCTTTGGAAAAATGTTGATTAGCTAACTAGGGTTTAGGGTTTATCAAGTTGTAGTATTGCTATCGGAATTCATAATTTGTTTGTTCATTTTTACATATTTACTATTATTATTTTTAATATATACATCAAGATCAATTATAGTTATCTATTTTTTTATTAATTAATTACTTATTTTTCAAATTTATCAAGATTTTTCATAAATTAATATGAATATTATGATAAATATATATGATTTTGACAAGTGAAAGAGAATTTTTTTTTTCTATTGTTAAATTTCTAAAAATTATTTGAAAAAGTAATATATTTTGTATACAGCTGTTTATCGATTAATTAATTCAAGTTTGTTGATATTCGTGAAGCTTTGTTCACTGAATATAAACTGTGTAAGTGGTTTTTTTATTATTAAAATTATATTAATAGTTAATTTATGTGTGCCACCCATGCTTTTTTTTAATTAAATAAATTAAACATAATCATCAGTATCAGTGTTTTATTAATCTGCCGCCTATCTAAACCAATTAGATTTCCTTTTTTTCCTTCAACCTCGAATTGTGTTCACTATTGTCTCCTTTTCCCTTTTTAAACCCTACACTATGTTTTCTTCGGAAAAATCTTTTTGGTCGGAAAATTTAATCAGAATGAATTTTTTTTATTTTTTTAAAAAATATTTTTATTTTTAATATCTTTTACTAAAAATTGAAAAAAGATTGATTTTTGTTTCCATTTTTAAAAAAATTAGGTTAAAAAAAATCTGATTGAATTTTTTGATCATTTAGCACTTTTTTAGATAGTTTATTATATTTTATTATATTGTATCATTTTAATACATGTATAACGTTTAGATTCTATTTTTTTTTTATCGCTACTATTAATATGATGTATCGAAAAATTTATAAGATACGAGTTGGGGATGTTTAATATCGATTATTACAATATTTTTGGAGAGTCAATAAGCTAATTCATGTAGATATATATTTTACAGGTTGTTCACCTATTAGAATTATTATGAAATAATAAGTAAAATTTAAATGAGAAGAAAACTTAAAAAATAACGATAAGATAATACTAAATCGATTATTAGGTAATAGAGAAGAGAAAGCGATCATACCAAGTTTGATTTTTGCGCAAAATAAGATTTTTCATTGTAGTGGGACGATAAATTTAAAAATAGGCTGAAATAAAGTTTAGATAAGAATTAATTTAAATATTATATTTAAATTAACAAAATAATACAGTATAATATATACCAATAATCCTTTTTTAAACCCTATGTGTTTGGATGGTTGATATATTTTTATAATGTATCGTATTATCTTACTATATTGTGTAGCTTTAATAAATATATCATTTGAATAGATTATCGATTGTTTTAATATAACACATTTTGAAGAATAAACGTAAAAAAATATCAAATATAAGGTAAAACTATTATAAAAAAGTAAAGTAATATATACAATAAGATTATTAAATAATACTATGAGAATAAAAGAGAAGATAACGAGATCATACCAAATTAATAAAACTTTCATGATTATGTGACGATAAAATTTTTTAATATCTCGATAATAAAATTTAAATAGAAATAGAAATGAACATTATATTTAATAATACAATATTAAATATAACAACTATCCAAACATTGCTTCACTTCTTTTTTGGCGCATGTTTCGAAATTCGACTTTCCATCGAAAGTTTATTAAAAATATTTTTTTCTCCGAAAATAAGGTTAAATTACATTTTATTTTAACAAAACATAAAGGAAAAAGTCCATATAGGGTAAATTCAAGATTAAATTTAATTGATCTTTAGCCAATTTATTCTTAAATTAAATTGAATAAAAAAATTCTAAAATTTGTACTTGTGCTTGTGTGTAAAGTACCTGCATGTAGATTCTGATTAATGGTTTAATTTAAATAAAAACTAATAAAGAAAACAGTTTCATTGTGTAATTCAAGAATTGGAAGTACAATTTTTGGTTATAATTTCGAGTAATTTGTATTATTTTAAGAACAAAAGCTTTAACCTAGTGCATTGATTTACTAATTCCCTGTTTTATTTTCTTGCTTTTGAGAAAAAGGTTTTTATTGTGCCAAATTGTGTTTCTTGTTTTTTTTTGTAATTAATTTTTTTTTAGTGTTGACGACATAATACGTGTCATTGACCTTTCTATGTTTGACACGTTTATAATTTGAATTTAATATCTTAGTAAAGTTTAATTTAAGCTAATAAGATGTTAGTCACGTGCTTGTAATATGTACTATCTTACATTTGAAAACTTTGTTGTGGGAAGGTAAAAAGATTATTTTGAATAATAATTTTTTAAATGATTAAAAGCATTAAGTAATAAATCAAAGGAAATAAATATATTTTTAGATATTGATTGTAATTTATAACTATTTGACAAAATGGGTAACTTTCTAGTGTCAAGTGGTTGAAAAATGGTATCCTCAAGAGAACCGAGAATTAATTGTAATTTGATTACAATTTTCTAGCTCAAATATGGGTATATACGAGTTTTTGGTGAAAATCATTCTTAAATTATATCTCTATTTTAAAGTATTACTTTTAACTGAAAATTGTAACGATCCTTTTGGTCGTTTTGAGAGTTAAAGCCTTGTGTTTTATAAAATATCTTTCGTTAGATTCTAAATGGGTATTTTAAACTATTTCATAATAATAACTATGAAATTAATGGGGCAGTTTTACTAATTTATTTAGTTAGTGGTTAGGAAAATAATATTAAAATAAATAATGGGTCACTTTTATCAAATTGTATAGTTGATTATATGATAATTAGGGTAGAAGTTTGTCTTTAAAAAAAAGGGAAAAGGGTCAAATATGCCCCTAAACTATTTGAAAAGGTTTAGATATACCCTCCGTTTAAAGTTTGGTCCATTTATACCCTCGCCGTCCAACTTTTGGTCTACATATGCCCTTTTGGACGTTAGTTGGCCAACTCGGAATATCCAACTCATTTTACTTTTATTTAAATGCCAAATGGATATTTCACGTCATTTTTATGTATCATCCCTTGACATTTATATTCAAGGGAAAAGGGTCAAAATATGCCCCTAAACTATTCGAAAGGTCTAGATATACCCCCGTTTATAGTTTGGTCCATTTATACCCTCACGTCCAACTTTTGGTCTACATATGCCCTTATGGGTGTTAGTTGGTCAACTTAAAATATCCAACTCAATTTACTTTTCTTTAAATGCCAAATGGGATTTCACATCATTTATATATATTATTACTTGACATTTATATTAAAAGAGAAAGGGGTCACTTATGCCCTAACTATCCGACCCAATTGAATTATGTTAATGGACTCAATTTAATGAACCTATTTCCCAAATGAGTATGGTATGGAGGCTTGAGTCATCATGGGTGTACTTGGCGTTATTATCAATGATCATTGTATTTGTTGCTGCTACCTGTTGAGTATTGTAGTTGATTTTATGATATTATCTGATATATATTGCTTTCTATTTTGAGTTGGCCGATGATATCTACTCAGTACTTGTGCTTGTACTGACCCCTACTTGTATGTTTCTTTCTTTTATATTTGTGGAGTGCAGCAAACGTACCGTCGTCTTCAACTCAATCGCAACTCTAGCCAGTCTTCACCACGTCAGATTTCAGGGTGAGCTATTGTTCCTAGCTCGGACTGGATTCTCTCTCATTCATGTCTTGATGTCCTTGAAGTTCGGACATGGACTATCTCTTGTATTTGTTTTAGCTCCCTAGACATTCTTAGATTTAGTAATTTGAGGATAGATGTTCTTGTGATGATGACTTCAAGATTTTGGGAATGATAAGTATGGAGTTTTAGAAGTTATTTAATCGATTTTCGTTAAGGAGTTTTAAGTCTTCCGCATTATATTCTGTTTATTATGGTTGAAATATTGGGGTTTAGATTGGTTGGTTCGCTCACATAGTAGGATAAGTGTGGGTGCCACTTGCGGCTCGTTTTGGGTCGTGACAAAAACATTCTTCAAGTATTGTAAAGCGAATAATTTTCATCCTTTTATTTTAATTTATTAGAAAACATTTTATATTAAAAATATTATTAGTTGAAATATGTTTATTTTCAATTGAATATGATAGAAGTGACGTTTGTTGGAAATTTCCGCTTCTAATAATGTAGAAAGAAACTCAAATGCGAGACATAATCTATATTTTGATCACTTCAATATCAGATTGATCCAAAAATTTTATTGATCTAAATACAATTTGACTATGAAAAAGATAAAGATAATTAATCTCCAACTTCTTTGCGTTACTAAATAAGAAAAATAACACCTTCCAAACGTTTTTTCATTTTCGTAAGCAATAATGTCTATGATTTAAAATATTTTTTTCGGGAACTTCATATATAGCAAGTAATTAAATTATGCAGGAAAACATTTATTTATTGTCACGTGACTGCTCATGTTTTTGTAGGATCACTAAATTTTTCAACGAAATTTAATATAAGGATGAAAATTGCTCACTTTTAAATACTTAAAGGATGTTTTCTGCTAAGACTACTTGAAGGATGTAGTTTAAATTTGACGTATAGTTGAAGGATATTTTTGGCCGACTAGCATTTGGTCATACAATTTTAATTTTTTTTAAAAAAAATTGAAGTTTATCATGCATTTGTTCATTGATTTTGAGAGAAATATTTGATTTTTCTTTTAAAAAAATATAAGAGTTATATTCATAATTTATACAAATTATTTAAAATACTGCATAAATTTGTATTAGCATTCTATAATAAAAATATTTCACAAAAAGTTATAATAATGAACATGATTAATATTATTTTTTAAAAAAAAGAAGAAAACAAAAGGAAAATACAATAGATAGTAAGCTTCGATAAAAAATGTATATAACATATAAATGTATATATCCATATTGTTTTTGTACAACAAACTATGAATAAAGTTTAGTCAAAAACCACGAAGAAGATTTTCTTTCGAAGACAACACTATTTTATTTTGGATCAGTTCCTTCCTTAATAGAAAATTTTAGATCCACCATAAATTAATTAGTCACCATACGATGAAACTAATTAGTCACAATATGATGAAATTAATTAGTCACGATATGATGAAAGTTGTAAGCTATTTGTTCCGAAAAGAAGTTGAAAATAAAGAACAAGGAATGTACATTACTATTGGCAATAATGAAAGTTTTATACATCTCCAAATCTTGTTCCAATATTTAAATTCAGTAATAGTAAAATTATTTATACTTGACAATTACTATAACGTAGAGACTCTTTCTATCTATTTAACGGGACACAGAAGCACAATGTAGTATCGAGAAAAACACATTTCCCCCCTTACTTACATAGTGAAACTAGTCGAGTGTGAACTTCCTCGTTAGGTTAATAATAACGAGATCTATACTCTTCAAGTCGATAAAATTTCCTAAAGTGAAATTCTGCCTCCCAAAGGAACAGCCTCCAACACAAACCTCTTTAGACTCGTGAATGACGTTGAAACTTCCTCATGTTGATTCTCATCGCCAAAAAGAGCAGAGTAATGCTTCTCCATCAGACTCATCGTCACGTTGAATTTTGGTTTTCTACACATTTTCATTGTTTGATTATCAAATTTCTCGACGTAAGACTTCAAATTGTCATACTTCTTCCCCTCGATGGGAACACTCTTTTGTTTCAAGTGACATGAACTTGAAAATGAGAGGTTGTTAGAATTAGTTGTATCAAAACTCTTTTCCAAATGGTATCTCAACGAAGCGGACTTTAAGAAGTATCCATACAACATCGAAGAACCATACACATAACGAATATAATCCTTTTTGATCTGAGTGACTCCCAAATTATCTTTCACATTCGACTTGTTCTTGTGTTCCCATCGTATTTCCTTAACCATTGCAAGTACTTCATCGCTATGAATCGACTCGAGTTCCAAGTTCTTGCATGGCGATATCTCGAGCCTTCCATTGCACATGCAATTCGAAAGCTTAGGAACCAAATGCACCCCAATTTCAGAGAACTTGTAGACTATGAACATGTACATAACATCCTCTACAACTTTTTGACATTCCACTTTTTTCATCTCATAGATTTTCCTGTCATTTCAAAAGAGCGATACAACCTATACCGGCATTAGTTAATTGTCATTGGATCTGGTGTTACCATAAGCTTTAGGGACATTTACAAAGAGAACTAAATGTCGTTATGTAGTGAAAATTAGCTTTTTTTACTAAAACAAAAACAACTTTTAGCGATAATAAATAAACATATTAATAAAGAGGGCTAAAGTCTTTACAGTCATTAATTAGGTGTCATTAGATGGAAAAATGCTAAACGCTTTAGAGACATATACAAAGAGTGTTAATTGCCGCTAAATATAATATATATATATTTAGCGACAATTAAAAATTTATTGCCACTTTACATCATTAAACTATAAAAAAGTTAGCTTGAAGTCAATTTTACTTGAAAATTAACTCGTTAGAACCTCTAAGTTAAGGTTAAGTTGACCTACAACGACATGTAATTCCACATATTAAGTCGAACTCACTCTTATGATAATACATGGACACTACTTGTTGCCTATGTTACTAGCACCTGATAGTGTAAAAAATTCTATTGAACGATTACGATTTATAAGTTAAATTTGATAAAAGTAAGACTAAGGTGACCTACACAACAACAAACAATTATATACACATATAGTATATATATGACGTTAGTGCATATAACTGAAACTCTTATTGAAATACGAACCTGTGAAGAATAACTTCATCGGTTTCAACGCTATAAACACATCGAAGTAATGCTTCTTTCCTCATACATTCCAAATTTTCCAATTCTTTCTCCATAAACTCGTAAAACAATGCTTTGTCATTCTGCAAATACTCACTCAACAATCTCCCAGTTTCTGTTGTTGGCATTAATGGAGGAGCCATTAATTCATTAAACACACTATTATTATTGTCACTACAACAACTAGATACTATCGACAATCGATTTGACGATGAATTTTTCTTTTTCTTGCTATTTAACAGAGTATTACTCTGTAAATTTCGTAAATTGAATGAAGAAAATTGTCGAAATTGAGGTAGTGAAATATGGGAGTATGAATAAACACAATCCATTAACGAAATTTGATTATGATAAAAAGAGGAAAATATTAAAAATGGTGAAATTGAAAGTAGTATTATTATGTTTCATAGTAAGTAGAAGAATCCCAATATGTTTCCAATTATGAAAATTTAGTAGTAAAAAGAATTCTTAACCAACTCAAATTATGAAAAATTTTACAAATATTATAGTAATACGTTTTTTCCTAATTTTACGTAGTAGTGTTGTTAAAATTTGGAAGTTTATTTATTTAATTTAATTCTTAATTTTGGAGTAATTTTTTTCTCCTAAAAGTATCCTTATTATATCTTTTGGTTACCAATAACCTTTGTTATAATTGTCTGAATGCTATTTATTTTTATTTATTCATTAAACCTATATATTAATTGCTTAATTAAATGGGAGAACTTATATAAATTCAATACTTTAGGGTGTTAATTGCTTCAGTCTAGTTTGCAATATTATAAATTTTAGCAGTGCGTTCAGATGCGTGTATTTCGAAATTAGCAATATATGCAATTTGTTCTACATACATTGTATTCAAGTGAATTTGCATATATTTGGATACATATCAAATCTCGTTCGTCACTCTCCTATCTTTCAAACAAGATATGGAGTAGTACCTGATGTGATTCATATGTATCTGAGATTCGGTAGCCTCTCTCTTTATTTTACTGTATCTGAGATTCGATGGCCTCTCTCTTTATTTTACTGTATCTGATAGCAAAAGTATATATATATCTAAGTATATCCTCTTAAATATATGAATTTAATTAATAGTGAAATACATAATTATTTAAAATAATAGATAAAATTTGCATATATAGTATGAAGTATGTTTAATAAGATAGTTTCTCCTAATTAAATTGGTGATTGAAATTTGGTACAATGAAGAGCTAAGCTATATATTTTTGTTTAAGTCTCCTTTAAGTTCGAATTAACTTTTTACGCAATGATTTAATATTGAAATCAAGTATAAACTTTCGTATTTGATCTGACTCATTAATATGTAATTTGACACGTTTATTTGTTAGCATCATTTAGCATGTCTTTCTTAAAAAGAAAAAAACTCAATGAAAATCTTGATTTTGCCATTAATAAAGATTTTGCTTGATTATTATCGTCTTCTATGTTTTTCTTTGCACTAAAATACATTAATTAAAACTATGTAAACCTTAACTAAACGTCGTTCACCTTTTACCTTTTAAAAATAGATGTCATGCTTAAAAAAATTGTCACTTTAATAAAAAACTCATTCATTTCATCTGTTAAAATTTGATTCATCTATGTCATTGTCGTTTAAGAAAAGACTCATTCATGCCATTATTTTAAACTCCGATTTTGCAAAACCTTCTTTACACTCCAAACAACTTTTAACATTTTTCAATTGAAATTTTGAATCAAATGTATTGTTTTAGATCAAGCCATTATACTTTTATTTAAGATTAGATAATAGCAAAATCCTTTTATACATCAAGACAACTGCAGTAAACTTTTGCAACTACTATATACATACTATAACCTAGAAGCTCTTTGTTTCTGTGTCCCGTTAGATTAACGGGATACAAAAACACAATGTAGTATAGGGGAAAACATTCCCCCCCCCCCTCCCTTCCCTTACATGGTGAAACTAGTGGAGTGTGAACTTCCTCGTTATGTCAAATGTAAATGAGATCAAAACTCTTCGAGTTGATAAAATTTCCTAACGTGATCTTCTGCGTCCCAAAGGAAAGTACCAAATGCAAGAGCCTCCAACACAAACCTCTTCAGACTCGCGAATGAGGTTGAGACTTCCTCATTACTCTCATTGCCAAAAAGTGCAGAACAATGCTTCTCAATCAGACTCTTTGCCTCTTTGAATTTTGGTTTTGAACACATTATCATTATTTCATCGTCAAGATTTGTAACATAAGACCTAAAATTGTCATACTTCTTCCCCTCGTTAAGTGACACTGGATCAACTGATGTTGATCCCGTGTCACTTAAGGGAACACCTTTTTGTTTTAGAAGCCATGACCTTGGAAATGAGATGTTACTATACGTTTTAACAAAACTCTGTTCCAAATGGTACCTAAACGAGGTTGACTTGAAGAAGTATCCATACAAAATCGAAGCACCATAGACATGACGGATTTGATCCTTTTGAACTTGAGTTAGACCCCAACTATCTTTCACATTCGACTTTCTCATGTCTTCCCATCCTATTTCCTTGACCATTTCGAGTACTTCAACACTATGAATAGACTTGAGTTCATAGTCCCTACGCGGAAATATCTCGAGCCTTCCATTGCATATACAATTGGAGAGCTTAGGAACCATATGCACTCCTATCTGAGAGAACTTGTTGACTATGAACATGTACATAATATCCTCTACAGTGTTTCGACACTCCAACTTTATCTTCTCAGAAATTCTTCTGTTATTTCAAAATGTTCAAATATTAGTAAACATTTCGTTATATTCATATGCATAACATCCTGCTATCATAATGCAGAAATAAACATTCATTTATCCACAATATGATATAATTAGTCACATAACTTAGTCATTTTAATCCACAATTAGCAATCTTTGTTAGTGTTCCTAATACATATAGGGACATTAAATCTAATGACAATTAACTAATATTGATAAAGATTTTCAACACTCTTTATTGACGTGCATATTTATTATTGTTAAAAGCTGCTTTTGTTTTTCTGTTTATTATGTTTTGGAAGCTCTAGCAACTATACTCCAACTCTATCACATGAATGTTCTATAGATACACCCAATAAAATAAAAAATTTCGATAACATAAACATAAAAATCAAGAGCAAGACAGTGGCGGAACCAGAATTTTTATTAAAGAATGTCAAATATAAAGTAAAAAATATATAAGGATAGAACACACAACCTCAAACAACTCCTTAACCACGTACACTAAACCTTCAACGTGTATCAAGACGTGTCAACACTTATATATTATATTTATTAAACCAAATTTTGACCTAAATTTTTTTTTAAACGGGTAGCTATACCCTTGAAGTAAATTTAAGTCACTACAAAAAAAACCATGAATTACATGGGTATTTTCCTATTGATTAGTATGAAAATTCGTAGGAAACTTATTTTACTGCAAATTTTCATACTAATCCCTAGGTAAACAGGCCGTCCTGGATTAAATTTAAGTCACTACAAAAAACTGTGAATTATATGAAGATTTTCTTATGGATTAATATGAAAATTCGTAGTGACTTAAGTTTAATGCACTACAAAAAGTCTACGACATAAGTTTCTAACCAAGAAACGTCCGTGCATAAAACTTAAACTCTTATTGAATAACAATTTTCTTGCAGTGAGTTGACCTACAACGACAACATATTAATCCTAAGCTAACAGACACAACAATGAAGGAAACATAATTAAATTAGACTTATGACTACAAAAATTCTACGACATAAAGTTTCTAACCAAGCAACGTCAGTGCATATAACTTAAAACTCTTATTGAAACTAAAACTACGAACCTATGAAGAATAGCTTCATCAGTGCCAACGCTAAAAACGCTTCTAAGTAATGCATCATTCTTCATACAATCCAATCTCTCTAATTCTTTCTCCACAAATCCGTTAAACAATGCTTTGTCATTCTGCATAAACACACTCAACAATCTCCCTGTTTCTGTCCTTGGCACTAATGGAGCTGTTAATCCATTAAACATGCATTTTTCATCGTTATTATTATGATTATTTCTACAACTAACCATTAATGGCAATGGATTTTTCTTAAACAGAGTACTACTCTGTAAATTGAATGAAGAAAATCGTCGAAATTGAGACAGTGAAATTTTGGAGTATGAACAAACACAATCCATTAAAGAAGATTGAAAATTATAATTATGAAAATATTGAATTGTGTGATAATTTGGTGAAATTTAAAGTAATTTTATTATGAGAGGATGAGAAGCTTAATTTAAATAGAATAAGAATACTAGAGTAGCGTATTTCTTAAAATTGTCTTTTCTTTCTTTCTTTCTTTTTT